AATGATGGAACAGAAACACAGCTTAGGACAAAGTTCACATAGCAAAACTGCAAACCTACATCTAACAACCAGACTCCTTGGAATTAGTCCCTCTTTCCACACCCCCAGACGTTCAGTACCAAGCCCAACTGAGGCTTATTAGGCCTGTCCTATTTTTATTTCTGTTTGTTTCTTAGTTTTTTTTTTTTTTACATATTTATTGTCCTATTTTTAAATTACCCAGCCATTTCTAACTAGAATTTTCAAGCTCAAACCTTTGACACCTAACACAAATGCTACAACTAAGAGTTGCAGGGTATGAAAACTCAAATGCCTACACATGATATGAGTGAGTGAAGTAGGTGAGACGTGACACAGTGGGGACTAATGAGGACCGTGGTAAACCAGAGATCAAAAGTTCTGTCTTAAGAGGTAGCTATATGATTTGGCTCCAGACAAAGAATGGCCTATGGAAATGAAGTCTCAGAATGTCATGTTTTTTAAAAAAGAAAGTTAGAAATTGAGAGTTAAAACTACGAGCTCAATTTGATTTTTTAAAATGCAAGTTCAGCATGCTTAAACCAAAAATCCAAAATCTGAAAGTCTGAGTATTGACATGCTACCACAAGCAGAAAATTCTACACCATGAAATTCGTTTTCATTTACCAAATCATCAAAAAGTACTGGATAAAATTACCTAGCCTGCAGGTCTCATCTTCAAGATATCTTATTACATAATGAAAATGTGTATGTGAAAATTCTGAAATCTGAAGTCTGAAACATTTTTGGTCCCAAGCATTTAGATAAGAAAACGCAACCTGTGCTGCATAGACCAAGCAAAACACATCCTCAGATTGTGCGTTTGACCTCTGATTTAATCCATTCTGCCCTTTTGCACTCAGTAAAAAGGCCTCACCCAATGTTATCTTCATGCTGCTCTAATATCCACGGGCCATCAGTGGGGGAAGGGAACTTGGAGAGTACTATCCCAGTGCTTACCAAGGTATAGACAAGAGAAGCACAGTGGTTTCCCAAATAAGGATCCCCCAAAAACCTGAATAAAAATCACCTCATGAGCTTTTCCAATGTCAGATTCCTCAGCCCCTGCCCAGACCTCTTGGGTCAGAATTCCTGGGAGCTCCTCAGAAGTGCCTGAGGCATATAAAATTCAGAGCCTGACTGTATAGAACGCTCCTTGCACCTAAGATGTCAGGGCTTCTGGTAAAATGTCTTTTGAAAATGGAGTGTTGCTGGCAAAACATGGTTGGACAACAATTGCTTTACAAACTTTCTAATGCACTAATGAGGAACTTAGTGAAGCTCAAAGTGGTTACTTGACTTGCTCAAAGTAGCACAGCTAATTAGGGCAAGATACACACAAATGTACTCATGCTGAAGTCCAATGGGCTGAGGCAGGTTGGGAGCGCTCAGCCCAACCAGGACTCTGTGGATTGGTTCTGCTACCCCACTTCTCTCTCCTATTCTTCTCCCAACCCTTTCTATTTTGTGCCCATTGGTCAACCTCATTCTTGGAATCTCTTCAAATAACACATCTCAGGCAGAGACTAACTTCAGCTTAACCCTATAATTAGAAAATGTAGCAGAAAATTCCTAGGTTGACATCTTGTGGCTGAACAAACTCCATTCAGAGTCAAGGTGAAGGTGCCAGTGGGACCAGGGCTCCAAGCATCCCTTTGTGGAGCCCTGGCTTGGTGCAGTGTGATCCAGTTTCATCACCTATAGAGAGATGACCATGTATCAGCTCTCACCTTCCTTGATATATGCTCTGGGGACAGGAGAGCTGTCCCAGGATGATGTCAATGATTCTTTCAAGTTCACTGTAACTTAAACCTGGACAACAAAGCAGCAGCTAAGCCTAGTGGACAGGCTTTTAAGGAATAGATCAGAAAGACTCCTAATGAAAAAACCACTTGGTTCTTGAAAATGGGCATTCTAACCAGGCACCAGTGACTCACACCTGTAATCCTAGCTACTCAGGAGGCAGAGACCAGGAGGATTGTGGTTCAAAGTCAGCCCAGGCACATAGTTTCCAAGACCCCGTCTCAAAAAAAACCCATCACAAAAAAGGGCTGGTGGTGTGGCTCAAGATGTAGGCCCTGAGTTCAAAACCCAGCACTGAAAAAAAAAAAAGACAGAAAATGGACATTCTACAAGACTGGAGATGATTTTATAACTGATTCTTTTCCTAAAAGTATTTAATTAGTGGGCTTCTGCCTGTTTTTTTTTTTTTCCCACTAGTAAACTCTTAACAAAACCTTCTTAGAGAATGTTAAGGTCAATCTATAAGTAGTTCCTATCCAAAACACAATATTTATAGTACTCCAAAGCAAAGAGGCTCTGCAGTATGTCAACCAGCTTGACATGGCAAATGTAGAAAGCACACTTAGTGCTTCTCATCCACCACACTGATATCATTCATCCATTCATTTATATACATTTGTACTATTTATAAAAAAGAAATTCTAATTCCTTACTTTGGCCTACCAACTTTTTTGCTTTCTTTTTTTCCCCATTAAGTCAGTACCCCTGTTCTTTGGACATAATCAAGTTTTTCAGCTTGCTGGTCCCCTCTGTCTGAGACACCACTCCCTGGCTCTTTGCATAGTGACAGTTCCTCCTATTGCTTAAGTCTCTGCTCAAGGGTAACTCTTTAAGAGAGACCTTCCCCAACCGCACTAGTTAAAGCAGACTGGTCATCTCAGCTATTCTGTATCCCATTACTGCTTTGTTTTATTCGTAGCACTCACTACCCCCTACTTGAGTAAATACTACATCTGTCAGCGTGTTGACAGGTAAAACTACATCTTACCTGTTTCTTCTCCACAACCCTAAAATTTAGCAGCAAGAGGATAAGCCTTTCCTGTCCTATCCATTTTTCTATCCTCAGCACATAATGGGTCCCTGGATAAAGTAGATGCTCCATAAATTGTTGTTGATGACAAAATACTTATGAGGATTAAGTGTGGGGCTATGCTTTGCTTTCAAGGAGTTCATGTTCAAGTCTCCTGACTCTGTCAGATTTTGACCTCACAGTAGCTGCCTCCAGAATCTTGTTTCCATTTTTATTTCTATTTCTCCCATGTCTCAAAGATCTCTAGAAACAATACAATATTAAGGGCTCTTTCATACATTCCAGGCCATTCTCACACTGGCCTGCAGTTGGATGTCCTCACCATAAGGGGCCAGGGGAAGTGGAGCTGTCCACATCTGACAAAAGAAACAGCTGGTCCACAGTGTCAATCATACTGGGGCGGGGTCAGGATGCCACTCACCAAATGACCACACATCTGACTTGCTGCTATAGCGGCTGAAAGAGAAGACTTCTGGAGATGCCCACTTCACTGGGAATTTGGTGCCTGTGGAACTGGTGTATTGGTCATCAAGGACGAACCTGGGATGGGCATGGAAGGAGGAGTCAGAATATTTCAGGCTCTGAGTTCCATTCTTGAAACTCTGATGGTACAATATCTCTGTATTACCTTGTCATCCCAAAGTCCGACACCTTGATGACTTGATTTTCTCCCACCAAACAATTTCGGGCAGCCTGGAGAGGAGAGAGGAAAACAGAAGAGAAAGGAAAACTGTTGGTGAATAATCAGTAATGAAAGACTCTCCCATTATTAAGGTCTTGTTTTCAGTGTGCTGTTGTAGAAAGGCATGGAGGAGCTTTACAAATGATAATTGAGCTTCACCCTTGTCTATCAGAAGTTGGCTAGGAAGTTGACTTTGTAAGATCACTTATTGGGATGAGCTAAGCTTATCTGCATTCCTGGATCCTAATTAGAAGAGCCAGCCATGGTGTTGTCTCACCAATGATATGCTGGACTGGGACTTAATGTGACAGGAAATGTTGACACTAGGAGTAATGTGATTCATGGAAGAGTATTTTGAGGTTGTTTGGTATCACAGAAGGTGGCATTGGAAGAGCACTTGGAGACAAAAGGCTCTGGTGAAACTCACACTTGAAAGTGCTAACAAGTTACATGACATTTCTTAATCTCTAGAGGTTCTGAGGTGGCTTTCGGGTTATCCCAGTGTGATTTGGGTTGATTCTTAGAGACCACTTTAAAAAGGTCTGTGCTTGTCAGGTGCCAGTGGCATGTCTGTAATTCAGGGCAGAGATCAGTAGGATCATGGTTCAAAGCCAGCTCAGACATATAGTTCTAGAGATCCTATCTCAAAAAATCCATCACAAAAATAGGGCTGGTGGAGTGGCTTAAGGTGAAGGCCCTGAGTTCAAACCTCAGTTCTGGAAAAAAGAAAAAAACACCTTGCTTGTCCATTTCCCTTATTTTGCCAGGGGGAAACAGAGGCACAAGAAGGCTAAGAAGGAGTGACTGCTAGCTCCACTTTGGAAGAATGTGGATTGACACTTGGAGAGTATTAATTTAGAGGAAAGGCTGGGATTAGAACCCAATTCTGAGTCCTCCTGAAATGCTTTCTGACCAGCACCCAGAAGTGGGTGGGGGATAGTAGAAGCTGAGAGAGGGGAGATGGTCTGTGGTCTGTGGCTGGTCAGTCATTTATTAGTGCATTCTCGGTGTTGGTAGCATTACATTTCAGTGCAATGGGCCAGTCGGTCCTACACCTGGAGACGTGAGCCCCGCATTCTTGCTCATACCAGGTCTCTGTGGATGACACACGCCTTTTCCAGGTAGGCCATGCCCTCACACACATCCAGGCACATGCCCAGCAGGGTCTCTGAAGCGAAGAGCCCCCGCTGGTTGCGCAGGTAATCTGACAGGCAGCCATGCTCCATGAACTCGAACACCAGGCAGATGGGGGCCTGCTCCAGGCACACCCCATAGAGCTGGACCAGTTTGGGGTGAGACAGTTTCCTGGAGGAAGAAAAGCAAGGGATAATGGCCCAAACTCAGTCTCCCAAAAGTACAGAACATTAGATGACACCAAAATAGCTGAATGTCACTTTGTCCAAAGTGGATTGAGGGCACAATCCACCTCCTCTTCGGAACAAAAATGTGTCACTGGAGTCAAGGCCTGAGGACAGTGGGAGTTAGCTGGTATAAATGAGGATGAACAGAGGTCAGTGTGGCATGTCACAGACCAGAGAAGAGATGAGTAGGCAATGAGGCGGGGAAGGGGGCAGTGCCACACCATGGTGGGCCTTCAGGACCATGGTGAGGTGGTTCATTTTGTTCTCTGTGCCACAGAAAGCCACTGCTGGGGTTTGAGCAGGGAGGTGGCAGATGTGTCATTACAGTGGTGTTTAAAGAACACAGCACAGAGCATATTCCCCAGGCAGTCTGTATACCCTTCTTTAGCCACTCACATCATGACTTCAGCCTCCTCTATGAAGTCGTCTTCTGACATCGCCCCTTCCTGAATGGTCTTGATAGCCACCTTGTCTTTGTTGAGCCAGTAGCCAAGATGCACCAGCCCAAACTGCCCACTGCCAATCTCCTGCACAAAGGTGAGCTCTGAGGGGTGGATGACCCACTTCCCTGGGGGAGAGAGAAACAGAGTTTTTCAGAGCTGGCAACTAACAAACAACAGGGCTCTCTATGTAGCCCTATACAGAATTTTAGCCTGTAGTTAATATAACTCAAAGATGGCAAATAGTATGAGTCATAGGTTTAGAACTATCATAAATAATTATCTTTGCTCCCCAAATAGTAACATAGGATATGTTACAAAACCAGAAAATATATATGCAGAGGTGACAAGGAAAGAAGAAGGAGGGTGATATTAATCATGACAGAAAAGGTATCCGGGCATGGTGTTACGTGTCTGTAATCTCAGCTGCTTGAGAGGTGGAGGTGAGAGGATTGTAATCCAACGCCAGTGTGAGCAAAAGCACAAAACTCTATCTGAAAACGGACTAAAAACACAATGATTGGGGCAAGGCTCAAATGATGGAGCACTTTCCTAGCAAGTACAAGGTCTTGAGTTCCATCCTTAGTAACACACACACACAAAGAAAATAAATTTAAATATTGTTGCAAGGTCATAACAATTGTATATACCTGATTATGAATTTTTAATTTCTGTTTCAGTAGGACAAATTTCCTCTCATTCACTCATTCGTTCATTCACTTATCCATTGAGAATATCTGCTATGCACATAGCACTCTGCTAGGTTTTGGCAGAGGTGGTTGGTAGTCAAAAAGAGGTGGATTTGGGAAGGACTTGCCTCTCAAAAAGAGGTGGATTTGGGAAGGACTTGCAAAGAGGCAAGCACAGGGAAGATGCTCAATGAATGTTTAATAAACAAAAGAACCCAACCCTCAATTTTCCTACCAACAAAATGAATAGGCTGACATCTAATCTCTGAGATCCCCTCCTGCATGGACACTTTAGGTTCCATTGTTTCTAGAATAACCTTATTTTCCCAAGGACAAATAAAGATGCATTATCCTTTCCTGACACTTGGTCCAGTTCCAGAAACAGCCCATTTTCTACCAATTTGAGACAGAGGCTCAACAGCAAACAGTCTGGAGTACCACTGTGTGCACACACTCTGCTGTTAGGGACAAAGAGTCACTGGCAGTGTTTCTGGAAGTATGTTCCTCCAAACCCTGTGTCAAAGTCACCTGGGCACTTGTTCAAAATGCAGACTTCAAGCCCCACTCTCAGGGTGTATGTTTTGGAATGTGCTGGGGAGGGTCCAGGAGTCTGCATTTTTAGTAAGTGTTCTAGAAGATTTTGATGCACACTGAGGTCTGAGAACCACCAACCCTAGGAGATACAAAAGGAAGATTCAACCAGGCTCTTCCTCAGACAGCACGGTTTGCACGGTTTGGACTAAGGGTGCAAACTCAATGCCTACAGGTCCAGTAAGTAATCCCCAGGGGTTAATCAGTTCCATGGGAGGAGAAGCATAGTAGGTTTACAGCACTGGTGATGCGTTACACAAACTTTTTTTTTTTGTAGTGCTGTGGATTGAACCCAGGGCTTTGTGCATGCTAGGCAAGTGCTCTACCACTGAGCTACACCCTCAGTCCTCAAAAATTTTAACATTCCGCATGCAGACAAACACTTCTGAATGCTGACAGCTCACAGCTCTTGCAAAAGACTCAGACCCAACAAAATCAATAACACAAGCGTTCTAGAGGAAAGGTGGAAACACAGTGCTAAGGCATTGTTCATTAACATTTTTCTAGTAGCATTTACTAGAAGGCTAGGTACGAAGCAGGTACAGAAGCATTGCATTGAGGAGCTCTTGGTTAAAACCAAAGGACACTGATTCAGCCTAGAGAAATACGCCCGTACGTAGGCTCACTCACACTGTGCAGGTTCTGTTTGTTATTGCTGCCACCTCCCCAGCACACCTGCTCTAGTGGTCACTGGGGAACAGTTGGGTTTAGGTGACATCCCCTGAGATTTGCCCTTGACCTTTCAGGACATGGGTTTTAAGTCAAATGCCTAACATTTCTTTTTGTCCTGCTCACCGTATCTCAGTCCCGCAGTGACTGGGGCTTTCTGCCTCCAGGAACAAACTGGATACCGGAGTCGAGTGATCAGGCCTGGGATGATCGAAGAACAAGACAGTGGTGAGACCTCTGCTGTAGCAACTGTCTAACGTAAACTACCAGAAGGAAAATAATCGGATGCAAAAGCAACTTTTATTCTGGAAACAAACCCCAAAGTCCAATCATTGTGTCACCCCCCCCCTCCAGAAGATTCCCGAGTAAGCACAGGTGGGCAGGTGGTGAATCTGCATGCAGAGGTTGCTCATGGAAGAGATACAGGATCAAGGTGCATTTGGCACCCTTTCTATTGCATATTTAGTTTCTGTTGACAGCTAGCTTGTCTGCAGGAAGAAACCAGGCAGGACTTTTGTCACTTTGTGACTAGGACTACAAAAAGGAAAAATTTTGGGGTAGCCAGCTTGCATACTGGCCAGTTAACTCTGCATGTTAATCAAACTGACACTTTTCCCCTTGTCTGGAGAGCCCAAAGTTAACTCCCTTTACTCTTCAATTAAACCAGGCAGTCTTCTACCCCTTATTTCTCTCTGCCCACCAGAGAAGTAAACCTGTCAGCCAAGAGGTACAGCTTTGGAGATGTGGTGCCCGGACTCCTGGACAGCCCAGTCCAGCGGCCATCTGGACATGTGTTTCGTCACACAATCAGCCTGAGCCCCTGAACTCTCCTTTAAAAAGTGGACATTTTCTCTCAGAAGTGGGAGGACAGTGCTTTGAGAGGTTGACTGTCTCTGTCCTCTTCGTCTGACAAATAATAAAACGTATTTTCTTTTCCTCAAAAACACTGTTCTCATTATTTGTCAGTTGGCATTGAGGCCAGGGGACCAGCTTTCTGGTAACAACTTCTTTCCAAGTTCCCTGCCAATGTCCCCTGTGGCTTTGTCCCCAGAACTTACCTGCCCCATTGTGTTGGTGGTAATTGATGAGGACAGGGATAGAGTCAAACACATATTTTTCAGCCACATAGTATCGCTTGGGGTTGTCATTTGTTTCTTTGATGTGATAATGCTTGATACAGGGGTTGTTCTCACTTCAAACAAAGGAAACACAAATGCAGTGATGATTAAAAAGCAACACTGAGATACAAAAATGGCTACTCTTAATATCTTTGATTTGGAACCTCTAGCAAGGATGGTGATATACAGTACTAAATGTGCATTAGTCTTGACAGGTTGGCTCTGGTGTCCGTGTTGTGTGAAGAAGCTCTGTACTTGGGAGGCTGGCAGTTTAAGACCAGTCTAGGCAAAGGCAAGTGAGACCCTATGCTGACTGGAAAGAGGACCTGCACCCAGATGTGGCTCTGTCCCTTCTGAGTTTCTTTGGTTCTGGCCTTGATTTTTCTCAGAAAACCACACCCCCTCTACTGAGCCTCTTCCTGCTGCACTGATGCCTTTGCTACGAGTAAGCCATCACACAGAAGCATCTCTCCCCACTCTGCCGAGCTGGGTCTGCACCGTACCTTATGACAGCCTTGGTGAACACAGATACCGTGTATGTTCCTGGTGTCCTGGAGTCTCGGACCATGAAGGCTCCTTCTTTGCCCTGGAGTGGGTAGGAAGAGTAGGCAGTCAGTGATCTCAAGAAGCTAGGTTCACGCGTCTGGTTCCACTCTTGCTTGTGGAAGAAGGAAGCACAGAGCAGACTTTTAGTAATAAAAACTACCATTTCATTTATTCATTCAGCAGCTGTTTTGTGATCTCCTACATGGGTCAGGAATTGTTCTAGTGCTGACATTAGCCATGAGTACAAACAGGCATAAGCCCGGACCTCTCAGAGCTCACCCTGTACCAGCCTACAGATACTTCTCAACTGACCACAGCACTGTAGTCTAGACGTTATTATCTTCTATTACAACGAGGACACTCATTGTGTCAGTGGCTTTCCCACAACCCACAACGAGCAAGAGGCAGCATTGGGATTTTCAAATTTTTGGGGTGTGAGCGAAGCCTGTGCCCATTCTATTTGATGCCTCTATTCAGTGGATGTTACAAACCACTTCTTCATTTTCCTTCGAGGGCACAGAACTCCAACCCTGGATGTTTCTTCAGTTCTTACTGAGACTGTATTTCTCAGGCCCTTTCACAGTGCAGGTGAAGAGAGGAACAATGGTAAGCAAATGGCTTACCATTTTATGTGCATGGGCTCATGTAAAATGTGGTCTTATGTGAGGCATTTCTTTACTTTGCATATTGTTTTCAGGGTCTTTCTAAGGAGCAGCAGTTATCAGCTCTTCAGTCCTTATGGCTGAATAACGTGTGGACCATATGGACAGACTATGTCTGTTTATCCATTCACTAGTTGATAGGCATTGAGTTACTGCCACCTTTTGATTGCTGTGAACAGTGAATTTACGCCTAGATTCTTTTGCTCAGTTTTCTGTTTGTGATACTTATCTAACTGTTGCAGGTAGAGTAGCATGTCTCTTGTTTTCCCCCCTTTGCCAAATAGTATTGACTTATTGAAATGTGATGGGTTAAACTCAAGGCAGGAAGAGAACAAAGCTTGAACAGAAGTAGACTTTATCTGAATAAATAACTTATTTTAAAGGGAAGGAAACATAGACCAAAAAGGTCAGAAGTATATCAAGCATCTTTGAAGAGGGGAGGGCGATCATCTCTTCCATCTAATTAAGAAAGTCTTCTTGTTTGTTTTTGCTGTTGTTATTCTTTCAAACAAGCCGTTGTTTTCTGAAAAAGTTGATGATTATAGCAAGGCTCACCTGTTTACAAAAGTAAGTAACGTACAGACATTGGGGAAAGAAGTTTGCAGTCAGCTCTGCTGAGCGCTTGATGTGGGTGGCATTCAGTGAGAGTGACAGGGGGCTCTGGTTTGGGGTTGGGGCAGCCAAGAGTTCTGAGGAAAGTGAGGTCCTCAGCATGTGCCTTACCTCCTACTTCCTGCAAGGTGCTCGGCGGTAGTCAGGCCACCAAGAACACGGGCTCAGAATCACTATTCATAGGATAGCTAAGTAGGGGGCACTGGCTTGTGGAATGAAACTAGAAGGGTCCCTCATTTCCTTGGAATATATCAAAGGTCTCAGTTTACCTTTTACCATTTTATCCAGAAAAATAAAGAGGCAACAATATAAAACAACTAAACCATGGAGATGAAATATATGTAAGATCCTGGAGGGATGGAGAATAGAAAGTAATTCATACATTCTTCTATTATCTCTCTCTCTCTCCCTGTCTGCCTGTTTGAAGAAGCATCCCTGCTTTAGTCCAAACTATGCCACTGATTCACTTTCTGAACTTGGTCCCAGTAGTATATATCTTTAATATAAAGGAGATGGACCAGATGCTCTTTAAGGGAGTGTAGCTCTGACAGTCTATAATATTGTGAATCCCAGATGTTTCCTGGTTAGATGTATGAGTGTTAATTTTCCCATTTGTAAAATGACCTCTGAAAGGCTATTGGGAGAATTAAATAAAGTGCATAGAACCTTTGCTGCAATACAATTCCAGAGCATGGACTATTAGCATAATTACTAGACATTATTATTGCATGTCACAGTATATTATCTGTTGGATGCACAAATTCCATTGTCTGTCTTCATCTCAGACATGCTGGCTGAGTTAGGAGTACATTTCTTTCTTTTGTCCATATGATTTGTAAGTGACCTTATAGAAGATAATTTTGACACAAGAGTAACTAACTGTGAGAAGATGGGCTGATGATTTGTGGCCTTGCCCTGCTGCATTATGCTTTAAGAATATCTCTGACACACAGCCAGCTTCCGTTCTGTAGGTGGCTCTCTTCCTGTCTTGAAATGAACCTGTTATGAAGTCAATATGGCATCTTTGATGACATCTGCGAATCATAGAAGTAGATAAGGCTCCTGCATGAGGTTCAGATCACAATGCACGAGATGTTTCAAAGTGTACTGATTGAGTAGATAGAGAGAACCTGCTTGCAAGGAATGTACCCCTACCAAGATGTCTAGACAGAGAGGCACTGCTGAGATCCAAGGATGAGTGTGAGCAGAGCCATCTGAGAAGTAATAGCATTGCACCATGAGTTCAAAGTTGAGAAAAACCATGTCCCATGGCTGGGCAGAGGGAAGGCATTGCGGGGCTTCTTGGAGAAGGCAACACTTGAAGAATTGGAAAGACATGTAGGAGATGTTTCTGTGGTTCCAAAACTTGGTTAAGTCCCAGAAAAACCCATGTGATACCTGCAGAGGTTCTGACTGGGTAGGCCTAGAGTCCAGGAGTTTGTGTCTCTATAAAGCTTTCCCAATGATGCTCAAGATCATCCAGGTTCTCCTTAAGGATTGATGATAATTGAAAAACATTTATAAGGAATTTGATGTTTTGGAGAGCTGGGGTAAGGTGGTGGACTAGAAGCTTCTTCCTCGCATCTCTGAATAAGAGTCAGGGTAAAAAACTACAGACTGTATTCTAAAGAGAGAAAGATAGGAAAAGCATTGGGAGTCAAGAAGAGGAAACAGGACATCTAGAAAGCACAGAGAAACAGAAAGGCCACAAAGAAAGATAGGAAACAGCCTACAGCTTCAACCCCAGCTCCCAAGGAGGGGGGTGGTGAAATGGAAGCCTCAACCACAAGGTAGAAATGCAGCCCTGGTGACAACAGACTGGCAGTCTTAGCTGCGTGATAAACCCATGGTTCTTGTAAGCCTTAAATCCAATGGGGAGATTTGGTGTGACAGTGACTCCTCCTGTGTGGCAGGCCAGCATTGAAGGAAAATTCATTTTGTCACTCCTCAAAACTTGGAAAGCTATAGTCAAGCACCATCTTGAAATGGGCCTGCTGTTTGAGACTAGGCATGCTGGGGACCTGAAAACAAGGAATAATCACAAGTCAGGGAGCCTGGGGACACCCTTCCATGGGAGACCTCCATGAGAGGCAGTTGTGGAGAAGGGGAAGGTTGGACATGGAAGCTTAAGCAGTAGAGACCTTGGGCTGTGGAAGGCACAGTGATCACTGGCTTCCCTCTCTGTGGCAAGGAGTGAGTTCCACTGTCTGAAGATTATGGTGGATACTGAGATCTCTGAGCCCACAACTGGTGAATTGCCTGGCTTCTGGAACTGCCTCCTTGCTGCATGTGGTTTGCTGCCAGGTGGGATTAAGAGCTCTGACCCAGGTCAGGGTGGATCAATTAACTTCCTCTGCCTCCTCCCTCCTGCAGGATGGTTTTCTCCCGGGAAGGAGGTCTGAAAGTGCTAAGATTAGCAAGTAGAGTGCTACTTGCTCAGAGCTCTGTTTGCATCCCCCATTCTTGATGCTTAGGGAGACACTCCTCAGAGCTGTGATAGACTATAGATACAACTCTCCCTCCCCAGACCTGATAGATTCCAATATTAGAAGACCTAGAAAGGAGTTTCTCCAATTCTTTTTTAAAAACTTTTTTCTTTTTATTATATTTTTCAGTATTGCTTTTACTTTATTTTTCTATTTTTTTAGTTTTTGTTTATTGTATTACCTTTGTCTAATTGCACTTATATATTTTCTTTTGTAATCAGATATTTTTATCTCTTGCTCTTTCTCTTCCTTTTCTCCAAATCTATTTCTTTTTCTTAATTTATCTTTTCTTTTATCTCTCTTGCTTCCTCTTTTTCCCCATTTCTCTGCTCCTTCCTCTATTTCATTCTCTTATTATTGTAACTTTTACCTTCATTAATTTTTAACTTCATATTTTATTTTACATTAGTTTTACAACTTTCTTCCCTATGGTTTTTGGTGGTGTAGGAGATGTCTTCTGTTGATTTTTATTGTATTTGCATATCTGGTTTGAGTTGGTGTTGTTGCTGTTACAGTGGCTGGTTCTAAATGGTACTGCAGAAGACTGATCATTAAGAAGACCTCAATGTAAAACTGCAAGAAATCTACTGCAAAAGATGCACAAATTGCAACATAGAAACACAGATATATGAAAAAGCAAGGCAACATGACTAATCCAAAAGTTCATAACTCTTCAATATCAAAATCTAAAGATATTGAAGTTGTTAAAATGTCAGGCAAAATACTCAAAAGTCTAGTTTAAAAAATGATCAATGACCTCAAGGAGGATTAAGTAAATAGATAAATGAAGTAAAGAAGTCAATTCAGGACTTGAATGAGAAATTTAACAAAGAGGCAGATTCTGAGAAAAAAATGGAAATCTTAGAAAGGAAAAGCTCAATAAGATACATAAAAAATTCAGTGGAAAGCATCAGCAATAGACTAGACTGGGAGTGGGGGGGGAGAAAGAATAACAAGGATTGAAGACAAGCTGAGGAATTATTACATCCAGAGAACAATAAAGGAAAAAAAATCATGACCACAACATCCCAAACCTCTGGGACACAAATAAGACACAAAAACAGACTCTGTGGTGTAGAAGGAGCTGAGATACAGACTAAAGGCAGAGAAAACCTATTCAGCAAAGTTACAGCAGAAAAATCCCCAAATCCAGGGAAAGAAATGGACATCCAAGTACTACAGAGGCATTTAGAACCCCAAATAGACATGACTGGGAGAGAACTTCTCTGCATGATATTATCGTTAATATGCCAAGAGTATAAAACAAAGAACCCTGAAAACTGCAAGGGAGAAGCACCAAGTTAAATACAAATGCAAACCTATCAGAATGATAGCAGACCTCTCATCAGAATTAAGATCTGAAGAGCATGGACTGATGTATTTCAAGTCCTGAAACAAAATAACTGTCAACCAAGATTACTATACCAACCAAAGCTATTCTTTTAAATTGAAGAGAAATAAAGACTTCCCATGATGAACATAAACAAAGCAATTCATGACTAAGCCAGCATTGCAGAAGAGACTTAACAGAACACTACACACAGAAGCGAAAGAGAGATATCAACATGAGAGCCTTGGAAAGATTAAATCTCACTAAAGAATTGATAAACAAATGAGAATTAGGAAAAAATCAAACACTATAAACTCACTAAACAAGCAAACTTGTAAGATGAAGAAGGGAGAAATTAGAAAGTTCCTTTCAAGAACTACAATAACTATAAATGGCTTTAGGTCTCCAATTAAAAGACATGGAGGCTTATGCCTGCAATCCCAGCTACTTCAGTGGTGGAAATAGGAGGATCATGGTTTGAGGCTGTTCTGGTCCCCCTCTTTCCCCACTCCCCCCCAAAACAACAATTAGTGAGACCCTGCTTCAAAGAAAAAGCTAGACATGGTGGCATATGCCTGTAATCACAGTTCCTTGGAAGTCAGAGGTAGGAGGATCACAGTCCAAAGCCAGCCTGTGTAAAAAGCTCAAGATCCTATCTGAAATATAACTAAAGCAAAAAGGGATAGAGTTATGGCTGTAGTGGGAGAGTGCTTCCCTAGCAAGTGCAAGGCCCTGAGTTCAAACTCCAGTACCACTTTCCTCCAATGATGCAGATTGGCTGCATGATTTAAAAAACAAGCTTCAACTACTTGCTGTGTGCAAGAAATTCATCTCACTGGTAAAGACACACACTGACTGAAGGTGAAAGGGTGAAAAATAATATTCCAAGTAAATAGAATCTGAAGGCAAAAAGGTGCTATATTTATATCTGACAAAGCAGACTTCAAGCCAAACTACTCTGAAGGGATAAAGATAGTCACTACATATTAATAAAGGGAATAATATATCAAGAAGAAATAATGATAGTACATGTAAATATATATATTCACATTTATATGCAAGTTGCACATAAATAATATATATATGTAAATATATTTGCACCAAATGTTGATGCATGAAACAAATACTTCTGGACATAAAGGGACACACAGGTACATAAACAACAATAGTGGGTGATTTTATTATTCCATTATTATCAATAGATAGATCATCCAGAGGAAAAAAATCAACAAAGATACATCAGTGTTAACCTGCTCCATAGATCAAATGAACTTATAGACGTCTAGAGAATATTAATCAACAGCTGCAAATACGCATTCATCTCAGCAGAACATGGAAGAGCCTCCAAAGCAGGTCATATTTTAGGCCATGAAACAACTCTTAATAAATATAAAACATTGAAACAATTTCTCACATCATAATGGAATAAAATTAGAAATCAAAAGCAAAAGACGTTACAGAAATAATTGCTGGGCATGTGGTTCAAGTGGTAGAGCACTTGCCTAGCAAGTGTGAGGCACTGAACTTAAAACCCTAGGATGACAAAAATAAAAAAAGAGCTTATGCAAATACATAAAGATCGAACAACACACTTTTGAGTGACCAATAGATCATTGAAGAAATCAGAGGGGAAATTAAAAACTTCCTAGAATGAAATTAAAATGATAACATAACTTAAAATAACTTTTGGGACGTAGTAAAGGAAATTTTAAGAGGAAGTTTATAGCTATGAATGGCTACATTAAAAAAGTTAGAGAGATCTCAAAAAAACTGAAGATGCACTTCAAAGTCTTAGAAAAACAAGAACAGGCTAAACCCAAAATTAGTAGATGACAGAAAAATTAAAAATCAGGGTGGAAATGAAATGATGACTAAATGAATACAAAGTGTTGGTTCTTTGAAAGATGAAGAAGATTGACAATCCTTTAGTCAAACTAACCCCAAGAAAAAGAGAAGAACCAATTAATAAAATTAAAAATGAGAAAAGGGATATTAGAACAGATCACACTGAAATATAGAGGATCATCATAGAATGCTTTGAAAACTTATATCCCAATAAATTGGAAAATCTAGAAGAAACAGGTAAATTTATAGACAATTATGACCTACCAAAATTGAGCCAAGAGGATATAAACAACCTAAGCAGATTATATAAAGAGTAATAAAGAGTCTGTCAATAAAGTAAAGCAGAGAACTGGAAGGATTCACTGCTGAATCCTTCTACTAGATCTCTAAAGAACTAACACCAAAGTTCCTCAAAATACTCCATAAAAACGAAAGGGAAGGCATGCTTTCAAGCTTAGTCTACAAAGCCAGTATTATCCTGATACCAACACTGGATATGAAAAAACAACAATAACAACAAAACTATAGACCAACTACCTTGATAAACATAGATGCAAAAACCCTCAATAAAATACTTATAAGCAGAATTCAGTAACACACTAAGAAGATCATACACCATAATCAAGTTGGTTTCCATCCAGGGATGCAGGAATGGTTCAACATACACAAATCAATAAATGTAATATAGCACATAGATAAAATCAAGGAGAAAGGTCACATAATCATCTCAATAAATACAGAAAAAGCATTTGACAAAATTCAACATCCCTTCATGATAAAAACCCTGAAGAAACTATGAATACAAGAATCATACTTCTACATAATAAATTCCACATATGACAATTTGATAGCAAACATTATACTGAGTAGGGAAAAACTTAAAGCATTTCCTTTAAAATCAGGAATGAGACAAGGGTATTGACTCATTCAATTCTTATTCATTACAGCACTAGAATTCATAGACACAGCAATAAGGCAACAGAAAGAAATAAAAGGGATATAAATAGCAAAGAAAGAAGTCAAATTATCCCAATTCACTTACAATATAATCCTATACTTAAAAGATATGGACTGGGAGCATGGCTCAAGTGCAAGAACCTGAGTTTAAAGTCCCAGGGCCCTCCTATCCCACTCCCAGAAGACCCTAAAGACTCCATGAGAAAACTCTCAGATCTGATAAGCACTTTAAGCAAGGTAGCACGACACGAAGTCAATATATAAAAATCAGTAGCTTTTCTACATAACCATAGTGAATATGCTGAGGAAGAAATCAGGAAAACAGTCCATTGTCCCCCAAAACATGTCTAGGAATAAACCTAACTGAGGAACTGAAAAACCTGTGCAATGAAATCCATAAAACACTGAAGAAAGAAGTTAAAGACTAAAAGATGGAAAGACTTCCCATGTTCATGGAGAATCAGAATTAATATTATGAAAATGGCCATATTAAGGAAAGCAATCTGTGAATCCAATGTTAAAATTCCAATGGCATTCTTTACAGAACAAGAAAAAAGTAACAATCCTAAAATTCATATGGAAGCATAAAAGACTCCAATTATCCAAAGCAATCCTGAGCAAAAAGAGTAATGCTGGAGGCATCACAATACTTGATTTTAAATTATATCACAGAGTTATTGTAACAAAACCAACATGGTACTTGCACAAAAACAGACACATTGACCAATGGAATAGAGGACGTAGAAATAAACCCACATAGCTACGGCTGTAGCTGATTCTTGACTGGGTGCCAAAAACAGACAAGAAAAGACAGCCTCTTTAACAAATGGTGCTGGGAAACTGGATATCAACATACAGAAGACTGAAAGTAGGTCCTCATTTCTCACTCTGCACAAAAATCAATTCCAAATTGATCAAAGACCTTAATGAAAGACCTGAAACTCTGAAAGTACTAAAGGGAAACATAGGGAGGACACTTGAAGATACAGGCACAGGCAACAACTTCCTGATTAGGATTCCAATAAGTCAGGAAATAATAGCAAGACAAATGGGATTGCATCAAATTAAAAAGCTTCTGTTTAGCAAAGGAAATAGTTACCAGAGTGAAGAGGCAGTCTACAGAATGGGAGAAAATCTTTGCAAGCTATTCATCCACCAGGGGATTAGTATCCAAACTATATAAAGAACTTAAAAATTAAACAACAAAAGAACAAATAACCCACCAGTAAGTGAGAAAATGAACTGGACAGTTCTCCAAAGCAGAAATAAATACATGAGATGGCCAGCATCCCTAGCCATCGGGAATATGAAATCAAACTACACTGAGATTCCATCTCCTCTTTGCCAGAATAGCTATCATCAAGGAAATAAAAATCAACAAATGTTGGTGAGGATCAGCAAAAAGGAGCCCATACACATTGTTGGGAATTACGGGATCAGCTTCGTTCCTCTTCCTCCATGAACTCTTTCCCAGCTCCTTCACAGTTTACCGTCATTTACTCTAGACTATCCTCTAACTCTCTAGAGCTTGTCTTGTTTCCCAGTAGAGTTCTGATGGCATGGGCAGTGATCTCCTGCTTGCACAGGGCGAGGAGCAGAGGGGCAGCATTAGGGCAGGGTACCTGGCATCCCTGATTTGCTCCAGTGCTCATCTTGTCCTCACTGACAAACTGAGACCCAGAAGAAAGAAGGGATGCCTTTCAAGTCACACCCTGAGCTGGTGATAGAGCAGGGACTGGAACCCAATACTTGTCCCACTATACCATGCTTTCTCTCTTGTCGTCCTTCTCACCCGTCATCCTGACATTCCTGGTAAGATCAGTCCTGCTGCCTTTAGAGACTTTAGAGAAAAAAATTGTTCAGAAAAAAACAAGTTAAAGCAAGTGCTTTATTTCCTGTGAACAGAAAGCCCAACCAGGCAGAATCTGAGCCCTGACCTAGGCAGAAATGTATGCCAGGCAGAGCAACCTTGATGGCTCGGTAGCTCTGATGCTAATACCCAGGCCTGGGCTCCCCAGGTTTCCTCTCCTGTGATTGCTGTCCTGAAAATCCCAGCACACTTGTCATCAGACATGAAAGCCATCGTTAACCTGACGTTGACATAAGTCACAGCCTGACTGGAGAAATAGCAACTTACTGTGTCCAAAAGAAGTTTTTCAGCTTTGTCTCGACTGATGCTCTTATTGTACCACCTGAAAGCAAGAAAAAGTCATGTGTTAATGACATTTTTAAATGTTTCCTTATTTACTTATGAAAGATAATGCTAGAAAATCATGTGTTCACTTCCTGTTTCTGCCAGTACTTTCAAACTTAAAAGCAAAGGCAAGACCCATTTCCAGGCAGCAAGATGTTTACTGGGACAGGAAATAATGAAAGGGAATCAGCAAAATATTGACAATTGTTGAAGCTGGGTTTTGGGGTGTTCATTATATTTTTCTCCATATTTTTGTGCATGTTAGAAACTTTTTATAATAGAGTTTTAGAAAACATTGATCTTCCTCTCCATGTCATAAGCAGCAGGGTGTGAGAGCAGTATAAAAAGTTAATATCAAGTTAAAGGTTTAGCAAATATCCTTTTAAAACAATAGCCAGGTTTTCTCTTTAAGACTAGTCTTCCTTTACAAATGAAGGATGGAACGATAAAACAGGTAACATGAGGAGGGTACCTGTGGGAGGGGAGAGGGTGAATGGAGGAGATGAAAGTGAGGGATATGGTCAATGGGCTTCATATACACCTATGAAATAGAACAATGAAACCTTTTGTGATTGTTCTGAGTGGGGTGGGGAGGAGGTTGGGGAGGAGCTGGTGGGGGCAATCTATCCAATGTACACTGTAAAGATATTTGGAATTGTCACAACGTATCCCTTCCGTACAATGAATATATGCTAATAAAAATGAAAAAAAAGACTAATCTTCCAGATCTTTTACAAAGTAATTACACAATTTGTATGATTTTGATATCTGGAAAAGAACTAAAAAGTGGTAGAGAAGAATAAGAATGATTTGGAGATGTAGGGTTTTTCGATTGTTATTGCAATATTTAAGTCAAATTCTGACCTTTCTGGCCACTTATTAAGTAAGAGGAGGTAGTGGACAATTAGTTTTGGAAATCAATAAATTCAAGAGGAGAGAAGTTCTAGGTGGGGAAGGAACATTAGTTACTAAACTTGTCTGGCTATTTGAGAGTATCCAGGAATAGGAAAATCAGTGGATTCTTATTTATTTATTTGGTGGTATTGGGGATTGAACTCAGGGCCTCATGCTTGCTAGGCAGATGTTGTGCCACTTGAGCCACTCCACCAGCTCTTTTTTGTGCTGGGTATTTTTGAGATAGGGTCTCATGAACTATTTGTCCAGGCTTTGAACCTCTATCATCCTGATCTCTGTCTCCTGAGTAGCTAGGAATACAGGTGTGAGCCACCAGCACCCTGTTGTATTGGTTACTTTTGTGATAGGGCCTCGCTTTATGCCTGCGCTGGGCTGGACTTCAGCCCTCTTCTTTGAGCATAGCTGGGATAGTAGGTTCATGTCACTACAGCCAGGCATTGGTTGAGATGAAGGTCTCCAAACCCTTTTTGTCCTGGTTGCTTCAAACACAATTTTTCTGATCTCAGCCTCCCAAGTAGCTATAAACCATTTAGTTTTGAGCCATCATACCCACTCTTTTGTTTCAGTTTTTTGAACATGATATGACAGAACAAAGTTTATACCTCCATAGCCATCTAGACATTATTTAATAGGGGGCTTCATCTTGTGTGAAAACTCCAAGCAAATAGTAGTGGTTTCCTACAGCTATGCATTGTAAAGTTTGAAGACAGTCTGGGTACAGTGGGTAAAGTGCCACCATCAAGAGTGAAGTCTACCCGAGTTCAGTGCACAGGAAGTGAGGGGAACATCAACAAGAATTCATGTTTTGCCTCCTCTTTTCTGACCCTTCATTTTATAGGGAAGGGATCTGAGCTCAAATAGGGTGACATACAGTAGTCCCTCAGTTGCAGTTTCCCCATGGTCAACCCATAGTCCAAAACTATTACATGAAAAATTCCAAAAATAAACAATTCATAAGCCATAAATTGTGTGCTCTGTAAATCTCACACTGTCTGGCTCTCTCCTGCATGAATCATTCCTTCTTGCATAGCATGTCCATGCAGTACTTGCCACCTGTCTTTTAGTCACTCAGTAGTTGTCTTGAGGATCAGATGGAGTGTCATAGTGTTGTTGGGTTTGTGTTCAAGTAATGCTTATTTTGCTTAATAATGTCTTGAAGTTCAAGAGTAGTTATGATGTAATTTTAGTACCATATATTGTTATTAATGTTAAATTTCATTATAGTTATTATTATTAATCTTTTACTGTGTCTAATTGTAAGGTAGACTTTATCATAGGATGGTGCATATATAGGAAAAATGTAATACGTATTGCGTTTCAAACTATCTGCAGTTTTAAGCATCCACTGGAGGTTATGAAACATATTCCCCAAGAATAAAGGGGGATGACAATAATTTGCCCAAGCTTCTTCCCCCAAACCAAGGCAGGAGACCCGAGTCCAGACAATTTACCAACTCCTGATTACCAGATGATACATTTTGGAGATCTTATGCAGAGCTTGTCTAAAACAAAGTAAAATTAAGTTCAAGACTAAAGAGTCATTGCACTGAATATCTTTTATATATCTAGCTGTCTATTAAGTACCTGGATGTTTGTTTATAAATCATTTTCCTTTCTAACTGAGGTCCCATAACCCAGAAAATGCAAGCAGATTGCTCATGGTACAAATAGGCTCATAGACAGCTTTGTTTACCTATTGTGTTTTATATTTAAAAGGACTTAAAATTCCTCTAGGTAGGGAAATATACTATTTAAAATTTCCCCAGACTCCATTATTCCATATTACATTATGTTCTGTTGGAATTTTGAATTTGCTTCCTCAATAACAAACACAGTGGTTCTGATTAAATGCAAAAACAACAAAAAAAATTCCACCTAGTGGTTGTTTGAAATAGATGCCTATTTTTTCTTGAAAGGCACTGATTATAAAAAATAATTTTACTTTATTTAAGCATATCTCATATATGTTCCCTTTCAGCTAGAGTAGTCTTGGAACTGATGAGCCTGCTGCTAGCTAAGGCAAGGGCCACTCACACATACTCGGATGAAAGACTCTTAAGAAAATGGTACCTCTTCACCACTGAACCGGTCACCATCTCAGCCATAAATAACCTGAACACATTTGAACTAATAAGAGTCCTAATGACTTAATAAAACGTCTCATTAGCTTGTAGACTTCTGCATTAGTATCTTATATTTAATGAGTACTTCATTTTTTTATTTTTAAATAAGTTCAAAAAAGAAAAGTCATAAAATATTTTAAAAGAACTCCCAAGATGCGTCCTGGTCTGAAGTTTTAAACATATACTTTACCATTCTCTCTAGACAAAGATATGAATAGGCCAATTTTTTTCTGACCTGTTTGAGAATAGACTTTTACTCCTAATCAAACTAATACCCTAAAACATGGAAAACACACTTCTACAACCACAGCAGTTACCAAAATCATGAAACTTAATATCTATACAATATTACTGTCTAATTACAGACCTTACCAAAATCTCATCTATTTTGCCAATAAACATGTGTGTAAAAATATTCTTATGGTTCCAATTTGAGATTATAAGTTCATTTAGTTTCCATGCCTTTTAGTTTCCTTTAATGTGGATGAATTTCTGAGACTTTTGGTGACTTTCATGATATCAACAATTTTTGAAACTCATAGTCTATTTTACAGAGTATTTCTGAAGTTGGATTTGTCTAACACACATTCATGATTAAGCTTTCATTGTGTGTATTCGGGGCAGGAAAACCACAGAAGTGATGGTAGGTCCTCAGGACATCACCCGGGAAGAAATATGGTGACTTTTTACCCGTATTTATAGGAACTTTGATTCTTAAGTTAGGAGAAGGTCTAAGAGTGATCCCCACTTTGCAGCTGCAAGTGATTTATGGGGGAATAATTTTGATACCCTGTAATACACTGTGTCTCCTCATATTTTCTCTCTCTCTAGTAATGACATTCATAGATAATTTTTGCCTAAATCGGTTGAAACTTTGTTACAAATGGTGATTTTCCATGACTTCTACATTCATTAGTTGGCATTCTACTGTAACAAAGAACTTTTTCTTCCTATATATTTACTTATTTATCTCTCAATTTATAATTATAATCTCATTTTATTCAATGAATGATACTCCATTACTATCATTATTTATTTGGTACTCAAATTGTCTTAATTTTGGCCAGAGGGAGCCTTTTAAAGCTGACTTATGTGTCCACACCATTAACAAGCATTTTCTTAAAGCACTTCTTTACTTGTTGGTGCAAGAAGATGTCCCAAGCTTATCTATCTAGTTCTTTCCCTGCCCAAACCCTAGAATTGCCAATGTTTCTCCAGGAAGTCCTGGTTCTTTGTTCAGTAGGGAGTATATTTAGAAACCAGCATCTGAGTGGTAAGTGTGCACTTTGATACTGAGGTGGTGTTGCTTCTGAACCCCTCAGCCCCTGAGCTAGGAAATATATGTACACAGTATGTACTTTGTACAGTACAATCAAACTTTATTAAATATTCATTAGTTCCATTAAAATTATACCTATGTGGATTCTTCTTCTAAATAAAGGCTTGGAAACAAATACTTAGCACAATCTAAACAGATGCTTAATACCTACTTGTCCATTGTCCTGGTATTGGCAAGATCAAACCATGTTTTAAGTAAGTTTATATCTGATCCAGGGTTCATAGTGCTTTTCCTTCTTAGGTAAGACCAGTGTTGCTGGGCTTCCAAGAAGGACCTTTTCCTTTTACACAATCTTTCAAGGCACCTGAGAATCATTCCTTGGATAAAAGGAAAGGGCAGTATACATACCACACTTACCCTCCTCCCCTTATTTGTGGTACACACCGTTCAGTGATTTGAGAATGGGAGAGAAAGAGAGCAGGTCAAGAAAAGAAGCATCTGGTATTTCTATAGTCAACCAATAATTTACTTTTGACCTTGGGAGGATTCCTTAGTACATTTTTCAAACATAAAATAACTTACTCATAGGTTTCCAGGCTGTTTGGAGATTTTTCCACCAGATAGCTGCTTGGTACATATCCTTCATGTCTGTTAAAAAGGAAATTAGTGGTTAGGCTCACATGGAACTAACTTTTACATCTTTGTTTTATAGACCTAATCCATTAACAGTCATTTAAAAATGGGTAAGTCTCACATTATTTGGTATTTGTGTTAGGACATCTAAAGGTTGTAGAATAAAAGAAGTGGTAAGAATAATAGCCTGTTATCTGCTAAAAGCAATAGGTTTTACCACCAACATATGAAATCTAACAAGAAACAAATGGCAATTTTGACATAAAAGCCTCTGCTTGCTGCTCTCATTGTGAAATTTCCTCTACTGGAAAAAAAAAAGATTAGTGTTCTGTCTTTATTTTCTATAAGGAAACATGTTTGTGCAATAATCAGCATTTTTTCCACTTTATGGCATTATTTTATAGTCAGGAAACCAAAATAATTAAAATATAAATAATGTTTTTCCAACCACAGTTCCTGAAAGATACTCCCAGTTGGTATTACATGCTTTTAAATTCAAGTTTTCACTAATTGGGCTTCTTCAGATCTATAAAGACAAGGAAAAAAAAGGGGGGTAATTTGAGGGTGGGGAATCATTTGTGAGTAGGGATTAGTAATGGTGCATAAAGGAAGCTAGGTGCTGTGGCACATACTTGTAATCCTAGCTACCTGGGAGGCAGAGATTAGAAGGATCTTGATTTAAGACCAGCCCAGGCAAAAAATTTGAGAGATCACATCTCAACCATCATACCTGTCATCCCTACTCTGTGGAAAGTGTAAATAGAAGGATGGTGGTTCAGGTCAGCCTGGGCATAAGTGTGAGACCCTTACCAAAAAATAACTAAAGCAAAAAGGGCTGAGGGTGTGGCTCCAAGTGGTAGAGTGCCTGCTTAACAAACACAAGAACTTCAGTTCAACCCCCAGTACTGCCCCCCAAAAGATAAGAGTGCATAAGTAAAAAAAGAATAAGGAAATTAATGAGAATATAAACTTTTAAAAAAACACTTGTGAATAGCCTCGTAGGTCTCAAAGAACTCTTGAATTCATTATTCACCAGAAACTGAGGGCAGGACCCCTTCAACTGTCTGTTTTTTCCTAAAAACAAGGGACCTTAACTAGATTACACACAAAATCCCTCTGTGCTCTGCAAACGCATAAATGGACATCTGATATTTTCTTCATTCTTCCTCCATAAAGTGTTTTGATTTTTATAAGTAAGGTCAATTTTCAGTCCAGTCATTATGTTTAATTAGAATGGGTGATTTATGTCAGAATGGTTTTGAAGAGTGAAGAGATCAAGACTTGGGAGACTGGCAAATTGTTCTGCAAAGCACTGTTGTTCTGGAGTAGTTATGTGTAGCTAAAGACTAGAAACGCCAAAGACAGGATGATTATTTGGTATCCTATGGTAGGTGTGGCTAATTAATCATGGTGCACTTTCTTTGGAGAGTTGAAAATCTGGCCTCAGACCCATCCTTGACACACTGCCAAGTGAGGGGAGCCAGCTTTTTCTGAAATTTGCTATTCCTCCTCTCTCTCTTTGGAATTTCCTGAATTTTACCTTCTTTTTTTTTTTTTTTGGCCATACCATATGTATACAATTATATTAATAGAATAAATAGTGTTTTTGCTATTGAATAGAATATTGGATAAATGTAACATGCCAACCAAATTTGATTTACCTACACAAATGGTGCCAATTCTCACCACTTCTATATGAATACATAGAATTCACAAACTCACTCCCTCATTGATCTTTTCAACACCGTGAGACAGACAAAGCTGATATCATCATTTGCATTTTGTAGCTAAGAAAATGGGCTCCCAGAGGGTATGTGACTTGACTGTAGTCTCATGTGGCAGGAGTAACAGATACCAAAGTCCAAGTTTTCTCTCTCCCCATCTCATGAACTTCCCACTATTTCAAAGCAGACCAAGGAAACTCCCAGAATACTGACGGCCTCTGGGAGGGGTCCTCCCTGATGTCCTTTGAAATGCAGACTTGAGCCTTTCAGTAGGTCTCTAAACAAAGGATAAACTGTCATTTGGGGAAGGACGACCTAGATGAAAACATTAGGTGTGTTAAATAATGTCAATAGAACTGAATTTCCACTTTCTTTGGTGTTGGTAGACCCTGGCAGCATTGAACTGCTTCTGATATGGGCCTCCCCATAAAGGCAAAGAGAAGGTGACGGGACCTTCCTGCTAGCCTCCACAAGTTAGATAGAAAGGGATGTTCCAGATGAGAGGTGTTGTCTGTTTTTAGACAGTAAGCTACCCTGCCTTTCAAATCATAGCCCTTCATCTAATTACGTCACCTCCCTCACCACTGCTTCCTCCTGCCCCCGCAGTGGGGTTAATTAAGAGATTCAGAACATACCTTGAGAATGTAAATATTAGTGGATGTCAAAGTCAAGCCTTAATTTAAAGAAGTATCACCCTCCTCCCTTCCCTAATTCTCTTTCTTTCTTGAAAGTTAATGATACCCTGTTTTTGTACTTCTATAATCCTGTTGGGGGAAGGTAAAGTTGACAAGCTTCTTGGGGAAATTATCTATCAAAATTAAGATATCATATACTCTTACTCAATAGTTCTGTAGTAAGAAATGTGATGTGTGTGTGTGTATTCAAAAGATTGTCAAGATGCATAAATAATGCAAGATCTTCATTACAGACTTGTTTGAAATAAAAAAAACAAAGATGCTAAAAATGAAGTGTTCCATCATAAGAGATCACTCAAATATTTATAATTGAAACATACATTTTAACACTATGCAATTATGTTAGAAAGAAGTAGGTTGGTATGCACTGATGTGAAAAAATGTCTAAGGTATATCATAAAAGATTAAAAAAAAGCAAAGAACAAAATAATTATTTTTTTCTTATTTCTTAGCACAAATAAGAAAGGACTCATTTGTATAAATTTTCTGTCTAGGATATACAAGAAAGTATTCATAGTGATTTGGGAATTGATGTGGGGGGAGCAAATAGAAGGTGGTTTAGTTTTCATGTATATTTCTTGCTATAGTTAGTTTATTTATTTTGATGGTACTGGCATTGAACTCATGGCTTCATGCTTACTAGACAGGTGCTCTAGACTTGAGCCACTTCTCCAGCCCCTTTTCCTCTGGCTATTTTAGAGACAGAGTCTTGCTTTTTGCCCAGGCTGGCTTGGACCACAGTTCTCCTAGTTTATTACTTATTCTTATTTATTCAATTTCTTCTGCTTTTTTTTTTTTTTTAATTTTGTGGTGCTGGTGATCAAACTCATGCTAGGCGAGCTCTTTACCACTGAGCTATAACCTTTGCCCCTAATTTTGTTTTAAAATGAAATATTGAGATAGGCTAATGAGATATTGCAATACTAGGATGTTTTCTTTTTCCTTTTCATAAATCTAAATTAAGAATCTCATACTTGAAAGCATTTAAACCTATAATGGTAACAATAAAAATGTTAATCACAGTGATGTTGATATTTGCAAAATGCTGGAAAGAACCTACGTGGTTAACAAGGGAATTTGCTAGGCAAGGGCACATTTATGTGCTGGACTCATGCAATCATTGAAATTATGTTTTGGAAGATGTTCCAGGGCATCGTTTAATACCTCTGATATGTTAAAAGGAAAAAGTAAAGCCTTAAAGCAGTGTAGGCATGAGTGTCTAAGTAACATCTATCCCAGTGCATTCTGAAGGTCAATGATAGTCATTCTGTGTTTCAGGTTATAGAAGGGCTCATGGTTTCCACTCAAAAATCCCATAGTGGGCGATCAGAATCTGTGCAGTCTTTTCTCCATGATTTGTTTATATGGCTACTTCAATGACTGAGTTCACAACCAAAACTTTAGTATCTTCTGGTACTTCCTAATACAACCACCGATCTGCACTTTCTCTTTTCTCTCCATGGAAAACAAACATGGCATAATAGGTGTACCTCTAGCTACACTTACACACTCAAGAAAAGCAGTGCTTTTCTGGACACATTGCCAATCTCCCAAACTGTATAGGTCAGTGGAGAAAGCCCGGGGATTTTCAGATGCATTTTGAGCAGGGAGTAAGTATGTCAGCAGATCCCTCCTAGCCATTCTGAGATGAGGAAGACTGATCAGTACTCCCTCTTCCTCTTGCTCTGCTCCTTCCCTAACTCAGTGAGGGGGAACATTGGGTAGGGGGTTCTCACAGCACCTCAAATGCTAGGACAGCAGCCACCAAGATGCCTCACCCATTTCGGTCTTGAACTCGCCACCAGTGAATCTCAGAACTGTCCAGCAGATAGTATTCCTCATCACACCGCAGTGCCAGCTCCTGAGGGTCACTGGTTTGGTAGTCATACAAAGCAATGACCAGGGTTTCTTTAGGTTCCTGAAGTGACCGCTGGGGAAGAGACAACAAAACCAAGCAGACATAAGAAGGGGTTCCCGGAGCTGCATGTCAGTCCTACATCTATGCTACTTCATTTCTCCGGGTTCCACCATCACTGGGGTGTTCGTGGAGACAATCCATTTTCTTCCACTTGGTTTGCTTTAGGAGTTAGAATTAGGATGCTTCACAGGACACAGAAACGTGAATACCCAATTCTTTCATTCCATGAGGTACATTCTGACCACAGTGAATTTCAAGCAGCCACAAGCTTTCCACAAATGTCTGCTGGTTTCTCTATTGGCACCATTAAGAATTTATTTAATCTGTGCCTTCATTTTGAATGGAGAAACAGGCCCATATGGGGAAATGGATCTAGCTAACTTAGAGTTAGTCTTTCTGTGGTCTGCCCCACATGGCCTCCCTTATTTCTCTCACAGACCCTCTGGCTCATGCCTCAGCAGTACCTTTCTCAGGATGAGATACTGAAAATGTGAAGAAAAGACCATAAAAGCAAGCAATCATCAGAGTTCAGGCTGAGCTTATCTGAGATGGGGTGGCAGATTTGGGGAGCCCAGGTGATATGGTGAGATTTGGAGTAGGTGAGAGTCATTTCCTTGCCATCTGCTCCAGGCCTCAAAACAGCCATGACGCCCAAGTTCTCCTGGCCCCAGGTAGGGGACAGCTCCACTGGACTGAGGGGCCTCACCACAGCCCAAATAACAGTGGCAGGGGTAGGACTTTGAGGACAGGGAGCTAGAAAGAAAGGGCACAAGGAGACACATTCACTCCTGAGGGGTCACTCAGGAGGCTCTTCTGAACTGACTGAGAGGGTGAGGACTAAAAGCATAGCTTTAAAATATCATTCCTCTATGTGCCAACCTGAGGCATCATTACACCTCAGGTAAGAGAACAAGCAGGTGAAATGAGAAATGACTTCAAGTGGCAAAGAGTAAGAGGAAGGTTGCCATGGTTTTAGATGTGTGGCTGAAATTAGGGCGATGATTCCAAACCCTGGAGGTCAGAGAGCTCAAAGTAGTGAGGATGCTACTCCTTCCAGAAACCTGAAAAGCCAAAGGACAGAGTCCAGGAAGGGCAGGGGCCAGCATTTTTTTTTTTTGTCTTTGCATTTCACCTTCAGTGACCATGAAAGCAAGGCAGGCGCCAGCTGTTACTTAAGATGAGAGGTGTGGACTTTGGTGGGGCTGCGAGGGGGGCTATGTGCAAGTGAGGCAGCAGGATTCCAAAGCAGGTCTGCAAGGAGGTGCTGAATCAGCCCCCAGAAAGTCCAGTAAAGAAAGGAAAAGAGCACTCGTTTTCTGTGTTGATGCAAGAGCACCCCTGTCCCTGTTGTAAGTGAGTTGGCTGGTGACAGATCTAAAAAGCAGCCTGAGGTTTGGAAGATTCAGAGCTTCCTTTAGGGGAAGCTGTCAGTTTTGACATGTCACCCAGAATGCTGGCTGGAGGGGAATAAAGCCCAGCTCGTTCTTCTGGGAGAAGGAGGAGGGGGCGAATTGGTAGATTCTGGAATAGAGGCCAAGTGCTCAATGTGGACATTGTGTTAATGTGCCCATAAGGTGAGGGGTGTCATTCTCCTATCTTTTTTCGTATTCTCTGTCTTCTTTACAGAGTACACTTGTTTCTAGTTCTTCAAGAACCACCTCTGAGCTAAAGACCACCACACCAGAAATTCTGTGTCCTGCTAAGTGGCTGAATGGCCATGGAGAAGGCTCAAGACATCTCTTGGGACTTGAGTTCCCAAGCTTTAAAGTGAAACTAAAACTATAACCCTCTGAAGTGCAGAGAAGAGACACTTAGTTTTAACATAGATAATAAAAGCCTGGAAGTGCTTTGAAATAAAGCATATCAAACGCAGGTCTCCAAAGTACTTGCATGTCGAGGCATAGAGTAAAAACACAGTTTGATCCCAGGCAGGCACGTGGGATGATACAGAAAGGTGCAGATTTAGCTGCTCCATGGTCCTTTAAGCAGACAGATGCGAGAAATAGTCTGAGCACTGATACACTGAATATAGCAGATTTCATGGCAGTCATAGGCACGAATCCAGGTGTGAGAAACACAGGCAGATGCCCATCAGGCCTGCAGTGTTGGGGTCCACCAAGCCCCTCACTCACCCTGTTGTCTTCAGGAGTAGGAGGAAGAGGCTTCTTTGAAGCTGAAACAAACAAACAAAAAAACAGAAAAGAAAGATGAGCACAAAAACCCCGCCTTTCAGAGCAAAGGGGCCCAGGTGGAGATGACAGGAGATAGAGAAAACAGAAATAACCTTGCTGAACCTGTCTTTCATCTCTTTCAATTGCTGGTTTCTAATTTCCTTTTCTAGGATACACCAGAAACTTCCAGAAGTCAATATTCTGGGTTCTCTCCTATATTCCCAGGAAAAACTTGATTAGGGAGGAGTGTGTGTGTGTCAGTGTTGGTGGGGCGGGGGGGAGCCTGGGCCATTTTCTGCAGGTGGAGAGACTTCCAGGAACATATATGCCACTTGCTCAGCCCAGGAGTGGGAATTTCTGACTCAGGGACAGTGACTCAATCACTGGCTTCCTGAGGCTGCTGTGGGCTCCTTTGGGGGTGGGTGAGGTGGGATGGTGTTGTTCGCTTTTTGAGTTGGTGGGAATCTGCTTTTAGTTGCCTGTGGCACCTGAACAGATGTTTTTCTGCCTCCCCCAAACTATACACCCCAATGTTTCTCCCTCTCTCTCTGTGCTTATCTTTTTGTGCCTCCATATTTCCCTCTCTTTAGGTCTCTCCTTCCTCTTCCCTCCTTTCACTTCTTCTTTTCTCTCTCTGTTCTCCCTCTCCTTCCTTTCATTTCTTCACTCCCATCTCTCCCTATTTCTCCCTTGTGCCACTGCAGAGGACAGGTCTGGAATAATGGACCAAGTTGTGTGTCTGGTCTGGGAAAGCGGGAGAGAGGGTGGGAAGATATGCCCAGGCTTCAGCTCAGTACGAAGATGTCTAAATCATTAGCGATGAGAAGGGGACTGGCTGCATAGCAGGCAGCGAGGCACTGAAGCAGGACAGCCCACCTTAGGTACATGGGAGAAGAGAGAGTCACCCATCAACACGGGAGCTCAGCCCTGTGCTGGCCCTTTAAGCAATGGCAGCTCTGGCACTGACTTGGGTATACAACTAGTGGACAAGAGGAAGTCACACACAATCAAAAGTGTGTATCCTATTTAGCCCTCAGCCCTCATCCAGGAAGCTGGTGCTCTATTCAACCCCGGCTCCACCAACATGAGATGTGGCCTTGGGCCCCTTCCAGCCCTGGACCTTCTGTGACTGGTCTCTTTCATTTCCTGCTGTGATCTTCCTTCTCTTCCCTGCATGTGACACTGGCAGGTGCTATGGTTAGGACTGGATCTAGCGGCAGCAGTGGGTGTTGCTATGGGCTGGTGTACAGGGTTCATTTCTACTCAGCCATTCCTGAGTCCCAGATGTACACGTATTGCTGTCTCAGCCTCAGATTCTTTCATCCATAAGTAAGAAAGACTGGTAAACACATTACCATTTAGTGGAAGCTCATTAAGGGCCAGCAGCTGTGGTAAGAACATTCTAGAATCCCAATGACTCTCCCAACAACCACTAGAAGTAACTACCTATTATCTTTCTCTGCCCTAGAAACTGCCCTAGAAGCTCAGTGTGGCTAAGGAACATATACGAATTCACAGCAAGGAAGGGACAGGGATGGGTCTCAACTCAGATTTTTTTTTTTACTCCAAAGCCTTGTGTTCATGAACTCTGTATTTTCAATGTGCCCCACCCAGGAACCTTAAGCACCTTCACCCTAGGCATACGACCCTGTGCTGTGTCCACAGTGCAAGGTGCTTCTTAGGCTGGTGGAATGGCTGAGGTGGTAGAGCACCTGCCTAGCAAGCACAAGACCCAGAGTTCAAACCTCAGTACCAGCAAAAAACAAAACAAATAAACAAAAAAACCTACTCTGCATTCTGCCCTCAATTTTGTCAGAACAATTGTGGGGGTGGGTTATTTCCCCAAATCAGAAGAGGGTGGAGGTGAGGCTGTGCTAGAGTAGGAGATGGTGTGGTTACAAAGCAAAGCACGCCCATGACAATGACATAACAGAGCTGTTAGGCCCTGAGGTCACATGGGGAGGCCTCGCCATGACCAGCCCACCCCAAGGGTAGTTATGTTGAGTCACTCAGATGCTCCTGACGCCTCCTCACATATTTACCACTCAGGGGAGGGAGCCCTGTACCCTTGCAGAGGAACGGCTACAACCCACACGGTGAAAATCACAAAATAGAAACAGATGCAAAGAATTTCACACTTGGAAGGGGGCATGGGTATTATTTCATCTCGGACCCTGAGAACTCCCCTACCATTTTAGAGATGAGGACATTAGGACTCTTAGGTGACCAAGTGAGTCATCTGAGGGCCCACTGCAAGGTGCTGGCAGGAACTGGAGAGCAGCTCGCTGGTTTTACAAAGGGATTTCTTTCCTGAAGGCAAGCCCAGGCCATCCCCTGTCCTGGCAGATCCCACCCAAACAAACCTTCTGTCTCTTCCCCACTGAGTAGTGTCAGGGCTAACGTGCAGGGTCGCTGGCTTCTGAGACATGGTAAGAATTACTCCCAAAGTGCAAGGTGAGAAGTGGTGGTTTTTAAAGTGGCACTGACAGGCTGTGACTCAGGAAGCCACGGAAAACCCGACCACATGCTGCATCCGCCTGGTGTTGTCAATCCGAAATATTACGTTCAGTGTAAAAAGAAACTGACAGATGAGAAAAGTAACTATGGTAGGAAAGCCTGAACGGAGAGGAAAATGGAAGGAAAAGAATTCATCCCTTCTCAATCATGGCTTGGCAGAGCCCTTCCTGGCTGCATGACCTTGAGCAAGCTGAGTTCAAGTTTGTTTACCATCACACCATCCATCCCAGTTGTGAGTAATAAGGCCTATGAAAACATGCACTTAGGGCAAAGCTGCACTGTATGGGAGGTTAAGATCCCAAAGTCCATCATGTAAGGTAAAAATCAAACTGTCGTCCCATCCCCAGGACCTGACCCTTGGATGTCAAAGGTCGAGAAACAAGTCTTGTTTTCGTTTTGCATCTACACGACAGACTCTTATTCTCTGAGATCATGTATGTCACAAGGACAAATTTGAAGGGGAGGCAGGAAGAGTCCACAGGGGAAAATAAAGATTCTCCCCTCCCTCCACATCTACTGAGTTGAATTTGTGTAATTAAAGGTGTGGTGTGTGTCGTCACGGTATTAGATAACGTTAGTGTGTACATCTTAAGGCTGGGTGTGTGATTTAAGATCTAAGTAGATGATGCTGTTTGGACTTTTCAGCATCAGAAGATGGCAGTGCTTCTCAAACTCTGCCCTGCAGGCAGAGCTTCCGGGGATCTTATGAAAATGCACGTTCTGACCCAGTGATCTGGGCGAGACCAGAGATTTTGCATTTCTGACTAGCTCCCAAGTGGCATGGATCCTGTTTGGTTTGAATAGCAGAAGGTTTATAGACATCAGTTGTGACATAAAAAAGCAGAAACAGAGTGGTGGTAGAGATTGGTGATTCCCCTCTGAAAAAAGTATGTAGAATTTTCCATTTGACCTGACACCCCTAATAATGGGAAGCTGGAAAATGTTTCCTTTCTAATTTATTTTTTAGTGGTACTGGGGTTTGAACCCAGGGCCGCTGGGCAGGTGCTTTACTATTTGAGCCACATTCCCAGCCCTTTTTTCAGATAGGATCTTGTGTTTTCTCCTGGGGTTGGTCTTGGACCTCGATCTTCCTACCTATGCCTCCTGTGTAGCTGGGATTACAGGAGTGAGCTGCAATACCAGGCCTAGAACTCCTCTTTATAGCACTTTCACAAAGGAGAAGGCACACTGCCAGTCTTACCGTTCTTGGTTGGATCATATGGGGCACAGCCTACTGCAAGTTTCTCCATCTGGGAACAGCACCTCCATCTCCCATCCATCCAGAAATTAGGATGATACTTGGTCACCAGACTATTATTATTCCTTGTTTCTGAAAGAGGTTGGAACCAGCAGAAGAGTTATTTCCAGGTCAGTTCTTCAAGGGCCACCAATATTACAGATTTTTTGGAGGGGACTACTGAGATTTGAGTTCAGTATCTTGTGATTGCTAGGCAGGTGCTTTACCACTTGAGCCATGGGCCCAGCCCTTTTTGCTTTAGTTATTTTTCAGATAGGTTTTCACTAACTCTTCTGTTGGGGCTAGTCTAGAACTGCAACCCTCCCAATCTCTGCTTCCCAAGTAGCTGACACTACAGATAGGAGCCACTGTGCTTGACCCTAATTTTACAGCATTCTGAGACTGGACTCTGCTGTATGGCCTGATTATACCCATAATAACCAGAAAAATGGCATTGTGCTATTTACTGAGGGAGTGTGTGTCAGATCTAGTTACCAGCAGATCCAGGTTCTTCCCTGGTTCTCCCTCTGTTTAGTTGTGTGTCCTTAGGTTTGAGTGAACTCTTATTTGTGCCTCAATTTCCCTTGCTATGCAATGAGGGTGTTAGCCTGGATCAGTGGGCTCCACAAAGGCGCCTTGGGGTTAATGGGGAGGCTGAAAGGGTGGGATCCCCACCTCTTCACCTCTTTCCCCTTGACCACAGCAACTTTGCTTTTATCTCTTCTAGATTTGTGGCCTTGGGGTCAGATTTTGGTAGAAAAAAAGAGACTCAGCCGTTGGGGTGGGGGGAGGAACCCCACAGCACTAGACAGGTAATCTCTGATCTGCCTTCCGGCTTTAGCATCCTGTGTGTCAAACCCCTTCATACAGAAGATTGGCTGGTGGACACAGCTGGGGTTTCTCGATGACTTTTCACTTAGTGTTTGCTCTTCATCGTGGCTGTTGGACTTGGAGCCCTTTCCAGTCTGACCTGCACTTGCCTGCTCATATTCCATTTGAGGCTCATTTGACCTTGGAAGCAGATAAGTCTTATTATTTGTATCCTTACTTTTCAGACGGAGGAATCCTGGCTCCAGAGAAAGCAAGGGACTTGCTTAATCTTAGCCCTCACAGCTACTTAGAGACAGATTAATATTTGAAACCAGATCTCCTGACACATCAGATGCTTCAGGCTAAAGAATAATAGTAATCTTGATATCAATCCAGTGCTCTTTGGGGGCTGAAACCCATAACTGTCGTTAGTCGAAATTTATAATGAGGACCAGGAGACCCACGAAGGTCAAGGAAATTGGCCAAGGTCACACACTAGCAATCAGCAGAGCTGGGATTTTCACCTTAGAGCCAGTCCACAGACTCAGTACTACACTGGTTCTGATTATGCTGCCAGGAAGACGAGGCTTAAGAAACAGCTGGTCTCGGTTCTAGGGCACAGACTACAGGACGGTTACTTCTAAGTGTTTTACACTCATCCGCTCTGGACCAGGTACTGCTAATCCCCTCCTCCGCTTCACACATGGGGAAACTCAGACCCAAAGCAGTTAAGAACTTGCCCGAGAGCACAGAGCACACGGACAGAAGAGTCCTATTTCAACCCAAGCGTTCCAACTCAGGGGCCAACGTTCTATTCTTCTCAGAATACACAGAGTTGGCACACTTTTTCTTTAAAGGCCAGATAGAAAATATTTGAGGTTTTTCTAACTAAGAGGCAAAATCAAGGGTAGTAAGTGGGAACTCGTACAATCCTCTGAAATGAATCATTTAAAACTACAGAAACCATTCTTAGTTTGGAGTCTTTCAAGAACAGGTGACAGTCAGCTGAATTTTCCCTAATCTTGAACTATACCTGTTTTTGCCTCCTGGACCCAGGGCAAAAACTTGGGACCTTTGCTAATACAGAAAGGGAGAAACGTTTGACGTCAGCTTTTTTCTGACCCCACTCTCTTTTACCATGGATCCCCTTCCACCACAGGACCCGTGACTCAAGGGCACAGGAATTGAATTACCTTCTTTGAGGGTGAGCACCCAGCGCTGCCGGCTTTCGCGGTCTGGAGCAAACACATACAGGAGATAGTTGTCGTGTACAACCTGGAGACACACACACAGAGTCCAGGGTGAGTGGGATGCCCAGCAATGGGTGACTGACAGCGGGCCCATCTGGGTGAGGTCTGCTATCATATCAGCAAATCTGGGGGACTGGGGAGCTAGTGCCCTTTCTACCTAGAAGTTTGGGTGCTGTGCAATCAGGTTAAACCTCCACAGCTTCAGTTGCTGGTCTGAGACTTCATGCCACCAACGAGCAATCACTAAGTTGAAACAGCAGGAGAAAGAACTCCTCTTGACTAAATAGCATGTTTAGTTCTCATCTTAATTTTTCAGTGATTAAGAAAATCTGTCATATAGAAGGTAAGTTATTAGATGACAAATGTGTAATAAAGATTTTTTTATAAAAAAATTCTGGTTTTAAATAGTTAAAACTCACAAGAAGTTCAAAAATAGCACAGAGCTGCTGTATGCCTCCACCTACCTTTCCCACTGATAACATCTTGCATAACCCTAGTGTATTTTCAAGCAGGAAATTGATATCGCCACAATGCTACAAACTAAGATCTTTGAATTTCACCAGGATTTTTGATGTACTCATTTATAACTGGGATTTTCACAACTGAGAAATTCATATCATCCCTCTTATTTTCAGTCCTAAAAATTCCAACCCTCCAGAGGCCAGATTTGTAGTATGAAAAAGTTCCTCACTGTACCACCTGAAAAAATGGAATATTTATCCTTCAGATTAGAAAACAAGAATGGTACCCTGGGCTGTGCAGGGAAACAAGAAAAAAAAACCTCTAAAGGCCCATCCACTAGTTTGTCCAACAGAACTTTCTGCAGTGAGAAATAGTCTGTCATCTGTGCTTTCCAACACAGTATGCACTAGTTACAAGTGACTTCTGAACATCTGTCATGTGGCCAGGGTGACTGAGTAGCTGGATTTTTAATATCATTTAATCTTAATTAATTCACATTTAAGTTTAAACAATCATATGTGGCTAGTTAACTATGGTTTGGACAACACAACCAACCCCAAATATGTCTCAGATTTTTAAATGTCAGAAACTCCAAGTAATTTCTAAGCAAGGAGCTCAAGCTGTTGCCCTAAGTTGTGCCCAAACTGTAGTTAAAGCACATGAGGCATGGTGTCCCTGACAGCAGTTTCAGTCTTCTGTCAGGAGCACAGGAGAGGACTTTCCTTGAGGTAGGTAAGACATGAGAGAAAAGGGTGCCTAGTTTTTGCTGAAAGAATGGATGGGAGAATGGATGGACTGATGTCAGCGGTGAAAAGAACAACACAGAAACTTCCCACAGAAGCTTGATCTAAGTTCTCAGCCTGGACTAGAGTCATCCCTTTCCCACTTCCTTCCATAACGATTGACGGTTTTAATTATGGTCTGGGGAGCTGGAAACTATCCACCTAAAGTCTGATGGACTCACCTGAAATGGATATTTATAGTGGCACGGGATGCTAATGTCACTTTTCACAATCTCGACACACTTGATGCGGGAGAGTTCAATGGAGCCCTTCAATGTGCGCTTCTTCTGTGAAAAGACCAGCATATCAAGTTTAAGTGAGAGAGAAGATGGTGCCCTTGTCCAGACTGTTGCAGAATTCTGCTAAATTCCACTGCTTTGTAAACCAAACCCAACATTCCCAACCAAATATCTAGATGCTTCCTCCCAACCTTCAGTCTGAGTGACACATTGAGCAGACTTGTGGAAGAACGTGCCTCTGTATGTCTTCTTGATGGGAAGACTGATTTCTGGTTATTGAGTCACACTGTCCTGTGCCCTTCTGCCCTGGTGAAGATGGCAGTGTTTGCAGAACTTTTAGCTGGGATGGGTAGTGCAGTCCATGGGAAGTGACACACATGTACCAATAGCCCCTGCTCTGTACCTATCCATGACCATATTTGCATAGTAATTGAGCTCAGACCTGTCCTGGATGGTGATGTACACAGTGCTGTCTTTCTTTTCTGCATCTGGCTTCTCCATGTTCCTTGGTCACTCACAGTCCCACCATGCCATCCACGCAGGAAATCCCTGTCTGTACTCTGTCTCTTCCCTACCTCCTTTCCTCTTCCCTATCAAATCTTACTGGCCCCATGTCTCATTCCTTTGGGAGCTTGCTAGATAGATTTCTCCAATAGCTAACTAACCCTGTCTGTGATTTATAATGATTTCGCATTTGCCCAATTCTAAGCATGTTTGAGCTTGGCAAGTGGATTCCAGGGGATGGGATGGGATGCCTCATTCAATGGGACAGATGCATTAGTGGACTGTCAGGCTCTAAGGAAGACTAGTCAGGGAAATGCTTTTGGAGGTCAGAGCATTTCCCAGGTGCCTAGAGTTAGGCTGCCATTGAGACTAGAGTTTAATTCAGCTACAGAACCAGTGGCAAAACATGTCACTATATATCTTATCCTTTCTACAGTGGTGAAATGAGTTCAAGATTGGAAAGATGAGGTTCAAAGTTAGGTTTTGCCTCTTATTAGCTTGGGCAATTCATTTAACCTTCCAGAACCTCGGCTTCTGCATCTTACAGGATAATACCTATCTTTTAAGAGTTAGTTGGAGAATAAAGTAGGGTGATGTACACACATTACCTGGTTTATAACAGGTGCCCTCAAAGAAGGACGGCATCCCAAATAAAGAGGTTAAAGGATTGCTAACTACTATATGAGAGTCATGATATTTGAGCACGCTTGGTTAGCATTCTGCAGGAGTGAAACCAGTCTCCACCAAAGTGTACCTAAAGGCTTTTGATTTGCAGCCTGGGGGAGCTCATCTTTGCTTGAGAAGTTGAGGAACATAACTGAGATGAAAAAATGCAAGATGTGAGAAGTAAACCCATGACATTCATGGAAGCTTTGTGATGTTTCTTTTCAATTTTTCTTTATAAAATCTACTTTCTTTTTGAAAGTAGAAACTCTTATCCATGTTTGTACAAATAAAACAGTATAGAGGTAGATAAAATATATATAGAGCCTTGTCGTCTGCCCTTTTCCCTGACCCCAGGGTAGCCAAGGATAACAGTTTGGGGTGTTATCTGTCTTTCCCCTTCACATTTATAGGGTATAAATAAACAAAAATGAGCATTTGCTGTACAAATCGGTCTAGAAGTTGCTTTGTAATGAAATGATGTGTAAAGAAGTCTGTCTTCTCTTCCAAACCTCTGAAAACATGAACCCTTTGAACTCAAACTATCTCCTCATTTAGAGTCTTCTGCAGTTAGAAAAACATGCCACGCTGCTGCCACAATCGCAGCTCTTAGGAATTCCTTGTGTGATTTCCCAAAACAGAAGGGCACAGAGTTGCTGCTTTCCAACAACCATCTGTAGCTCCTGGTGAGTGGGGAGCCTGAGCGTTGAGGCTACCTGGTGTCTCTTGCTGTGTCGTTATTTTCTCAGGATTCAGAGTGAAATGAAACAAAGACTTTTGGCAGTAATAGGGCAACTCTGTTTGCTGACACTTTTGTCCTTGAAAAATACTAAGTTCAGAGCTTCCAAGGACAGAAACCAAGATACCTTTGCCACCTCCTCAGTGCTTAAGCACAGTAGCTGGCGCCCCACGGGGCTCAGCTAGGAAGAAACAAAGGGCACCCTGCTGTTCCAACAGTCTTAATTGGGTTTAAGGATAACACACTTAGCCGTTCTGGAAATATTGACTGAGGACCAGCTTTGAGCATGGTGCTGTTCCAAGTTCAGAAAGTGAACACAGTACATTCTCTCATGGGGCTCACATTGGGCATGCGTGTGGTTTGACTTATCATTTTTTGACTTTATGATGGTGCAAAAGCACTCACTAAAAGCTATTTCAGAGCTGGGTATGGTGGCATATGCTGTAATTCCAGCACTTGGGAGGCTGTTCAGGAGGATTGTGAACTTGAGGCCAGCCTGGGCTACATAGTGACACTATTTCAAAGAAAGAGAGAGAGGGAGAAAGACAGAGAGAGAGAGAGAGAGAGAAAGAGAGAGAGACTGAGAGAGAGAGAGAGAAAGGAACTACACTTCAAATCTTGAATTTTAATCTTTTTCCAGGCTGGTGATATATGGCACCATACTCTCACCATGCTGACAGCAGTAGGGAGCCAAGCTACACCCAACCACGTGATCATGAGGGGAACCACCGATACCCTGCTGTGCTGCTAAACTGTGGTATAGATTAGGTGCATTAAATGCAGTTTTGACTTATAATAATTTCAACTCATGATGGGCTTATCAGGATGTAACCTCATCACAACTTGGGAAGACAGAAATGACAAGTGAACACTATAAAGGGAATAGAATGGGCTGATGTCATGAACTTGTCATGGGGGCAGGTCACTGGAGCAGAGATGAAGGTGGACCAGGTGGGAGAACATGTAGGTTCACCCCAGTGAAACCTTGCTGTAGCTGGGGAAACTGAGACTTTGAGGCAACAACCTGAGGTGGCCTTCTTGCCCCTCCACGTCAGACCAGCCCTCAGGTCCTATGGACTCTATGTCCTGGCTGTTCGTAATTCCTAGCTCCTATCTATCCTTGGCTGTGCTCACCAGGGGTCCTAGTTCCAGTCCTGCACCTGTGTTACCTTGCATGAGATGCTTTCAACCTCCCTGCACTTTGCTGTCCTTGGTAAAATAAAATTGAAATCACCCCTGTGGTGTCTAAGGGGACAGAGTGCCTGCCTTAGGCGGTTCCCACTTCTGCCTTGAGTCCCCTGTCCTCCTGCAGTTCTGGGCTACAGGCCTTGTCTGCCTTAGATCTGCTTGCCACAGACCCAGCTCCACCCTGTCTTGCTGGGTGACCTTCACAAGTCCCTTCTCTGAATGGAGAAGAGGATCTTCCATGTCTCATGATTGTGAGGACTGAAGAGGAAAACAGTGTTAAGATGAAAAAGAAAAAAATAGGGATAAAAATTCTATGTGAGGTGATGAAGCAGAACCACCCAACAGACACAGAACGTGAGTCTCACGTGTAATTAAAGTTTTCCAGGAGGCACGTTCAGAAAAGCAATCATAACTAGTCCATTATGTTATTTACCCAAATAAATCTAAAATATCATCACTTCAAACTGTAATTAACATAAACATTGAGAAGTATATTCTTTTTCGAGAACTAGGCCTTTGAACTTGTGTCACATTTGGGCGTGCCACTTTTTAAGTGCTCAGACACCACATAGTTTCCAAAGAAAATTTCTCCTCTCAACTCAGATGTCCTCCTCTGATTTCTTAATATGCAGTGATTCCAAACCTGGATTTTGAGGGGTATTTGTGCCTTAACACTGTCAGGTGAGCCTGCTCTCGGGTTGCTCTTCCATTGGGTTGGAGCTTGTGACCTACCATCAACCTCACGCATTCCCAAATGAGGGCCTCGTTTCCTCCCTTACAATCTGTCCCGTCCCATCAGTGTCTCCAAAGGCTGAGGCCAGTTCCCTTTGGATCTCATAAGGTCTGATCGGTGGTCCCCAGAGGACCATCTGTGCAGTCCGTCACTGAGGAGCAGTCAAGGACTAAACATAGTTCTGTCTCTGGGAAGCAGTGATTGCCTGTAATTATCCCAAACTACTAAACTACTGCACAATTTCTGAAAAATGGCAGGGTCAGACCTTCCAAGGAAACCACACAAAAGCCACCAGAGAAAGAGGGAGACCTAGTCAAACTCGCCCTCGTTCTCCCTTTTTGTTCTGTTTGCACCACTTGCAGTGAAAAAGTCCCAGGATTCTGCTTAGCCTTGTCTCATTTCTTGGCCAAGTTCAAAGCTATGTTGTGTGTGTGTCAAACTATCCAAGATGCTGATTTGCACAAGAGTGAGCATGTGCAGCTGGCTTTTGTATCTTCTTTCTTTCAACATATTGTGTAAAATAGAATTTAGATTGTGAGTTTCAAAGAGAGGCAGGGAGAAGTAATAAAAGACAATGCTTTTGAGCCCTTTTTATATTTCAGGCACTCAACGCCATCTCATTTAATCATGATCCAAAAAAGCATCATTTCCCCATTTACAGGTGAGAAAACTGAGGCTCAGAGGCCAGCTTCCTTAATTAGTGAAAGAACAGCCTACCAGTTCAAGTCCATGACTCCAGAGCCTATGCCCTTAACGACTGTGCTTCATGGCTTTGTGCATGCTCTGACTTTCACAGAAAAGTTTTATTACCCAAACCCAATGCTGAATGATGGATTGCATGACCCATTTCTGCAAGGCATCACCTAGCAGGGTTTGATTTCCACACCATGGGGTTGTGCAATGCTCCTGCTGGGTGTCAAAGGTGGAGCACCTTCCCTGGCTTCTCAGATGCAAAATTCCTCTGCTCTCGAACCACACTGGCTCCTTCGCTGCTCCCCCAGCCCCAGGTCAGCAGATACATCAGCAAGAAGCTCTGTGTCGGACACACAAGGACATTTCTACCCTTCTGCAAAACAACAGAATTTCAATGTTTTACTCTGGTGAAGCAGGAAGGGGAAGAACTGAAATGTTCAGGTCAGGCAGATCTGGGGTTAGAGTCTAACCTCATCCCTCACCAGCCAGGCAGCATAGGCAGCTGTCATAACCTGTCAGTTACCTTGT